AGGGGAAGAATGAAGGGGGTGAAATCGGAGGGGGAGACGAACCATGAGAAACGATGGACTCTGAGAAACAAACTGAGGGTTCTAGAGGGGAGGGGGTGGGGGGATGGGTTAGCCTGGTGATGAGTATTAAAGAGGGCACGTATTGGATGGAGCACTGGGTGTTACAGGCAAACAATGAATCACGGAACACTACATCAAAAACTAACATCACCATAATAATAAAAGAAGAAATACAAAATAAAAAAAATTTTAAAACCCATAAGCATATATAATCCTGCACCACATGGTCCTTCCCCAGAGCCCTCTCTTCTTTGTGAAGACTGTGTGTCCTGGGGTAGTGGTCTTAACTTGGGTTCCAGTAAGAGTCTTCCTTTCTCTTTAAAATTTTTAAAAAAGGTTTTTTCATTTTGCATTGATAACTTCTCTTCCTTAGAATGATGCCTTTTTGTATGGAAAGTTATCACACACACACACCCCCACAGGCACACAATCTATTTTCCCCAGAAAAACATTTGAACTTTTGAAAGTCTCTGCCTATATTAATAAGAAGCAAAGTTACTTTCTAGGTTTGGATATAACAGTATCAGAACTTAAGAACTGGTTACAAATCCCGCAATTCATAACTAAACTGCAAGTACCTCCTGCAGATGCAAAACTACTCATTTTAACAGCTCCTGAAAACGAGCAACACTTGCTTTTGTGTTCAGTGAAGCCCAGGAAACAAAAACAGCCTCTGTGAAATAGTACCTTAATTTGATGCACGGAAGAGATGGAGGACGGCACACATGCTAATCCCAAAGATAATTACATCACAGAGTCTCAGCACAGATGGACGAATTTACAGATGCTAGTTAAATGCTCAATTAGCCCGAAGAGAAGCACCTGTAAGAACACCGTTCTGGAATGCAGCACCCAATGCATGGAATCATAGACTCAAACTATCAGTGCTGGTCTGGAACCGGAGGCCTGGCGTGAGGGCGCAGCCACGGTGAAGGCTGTCGGGGTCCCTTCTGAATGTTCAAGCAGGGCATGGTTTCTACCCAGAGAAGCCGCTTCAAAGGAGGCAAGGCTGCCTGGAGTCCACATTACCTGGTGTTTCCCAAATCGCTGACTGGTGGAGGCTGTGCGGTGGTCAGGTGTCCCGGGCATGCCCTCTCCGCAAGGCTGGGCTCTGCCTCTGGAACCCCCCGAGGGCTCTCTGGGACCTTGGACGTTCGCCAGTTCACCCGCTGGGTCTAGGAGTGAATCAAGGCCGGTCTGAAAGCAAAGGACACACAGCCCTGGGTTAGAAGAGTGAATTTGCCCGTCCGTGATCTTGAGCATTTTCTTTAACGCTTCACAGCAGTTTCCTTACCCCACGCAGGCCCACGGCGAGGACGCGTCCGTGGTCACCGCTGTCCGCCGCGGCCGCAGGGTCTCCGCCCACCGTCCCCGAGCAAGTCCTCAGCGAGGCGTCTCCCCGCCCGGCCTGGC